TAACTCTGAAGGCACATGATTCAAAGCCACCAGCTGCTCCTTGGAAGAAAAATGGGCTGTGTCCTCCCATGTGATTAACTACTTCTGAAAACCTGCCAGAGGGTCAGCTGTGAGTTGGTTCCGACTCAGCAATACACAATAAAAATGATGTTGCTGGGCCAAATGGTGTTTCTATTCTGAACTTTCTAAGGAAGCACCAAACCACTTTCTATAATGGTTGTACCATTTTATATTACAATCAAAAGTGTATGAGATGTGTTTTACTGTCTTGTTAAAATTTACTATTATTACTTACTGGGGTGAGATAATATGTCATTGTTTTGATTAGCATCTCTCTTCATAGGTCATTATCTTGAACATTTCTTTTATTCAAGATAATTCTTGAACGAATTCTATTGATTGACCATCTGAATGTCTTCATCTCTGCCCATGTTGTAATTTAACGTAATGTTGAGTTTAAATTGTGGTTTGAAGGGGAGCTCTGGTGGCCTAGTGGCAAGGACCTGCAACTACAATCCCAGAGGCGCACGGTTCGAATCCACCAGATGCTCTGCCGGGGAAGGAGGGACAATTTCCTCCTGTACCAGTCAGATCTGATTTGATGGTACACTCACACAAAAATAATAAAAATAAAAAAATTTAAAAAAATTGTGGTTTGAGTGAAGGTTTACACAGCATTTTTTTTCATTCTGCCCTTCATACACAATTTATTTTATAACATTAATTTTCATATCCATAATGAATTCACATTTCCTCCCTATAATTCTGATTTCCATTAATCTTTCTATACTTCTCCATCTATCCTTTTTTAGTAGTAATGTGCAGAACAGATTATCCGGGAGGCTGGGCTCTATGAGGAGAAATGTGGGGTCAAGATTGGTGGACGATTTATCAACAATCTGCGTTATGCAGATGATACAACCCTGCTTGCCGAAACTGAAGAGGACTTGAAGCACCTGCTGCAGAGGGTCAAGGACTGCAGCCTCCAATATGGATTGAGGCTCAATGTCAAGAAGACAAAGATTCTCACCACTGGACCAATTGGCAGCATCAGGATGGATGGTGAAGAGATTGAGATTGTTCACAGCTTTAGTTTGCTTGGCTCCACAATCAACACTCTTGGCACCAGTAGCCAGGAAATTCAAAGGCGCGTTGCCATGGGAAAGTCTGCTGTTAGGGACCTCTGCAAAGTACTGAAGAGCAATGGTGTCTCTCTGGAGACTGAGGTGTGTTTGATACAGGCCATGGTCTTCGCAATCACTTGTTATGCATCAGAGAGTTGCACAATGACCAAGGAGGATAGAAGGAGAATTGATGCCTTTGAGCTGTGGTGCTGGAGAAGAGTATTGAGAATACCATGGACTGCTAGGAAAACAAACAGATTTGTCCTGGAAAGGGTTAAACTGGGTGGCTCCTTGGAGGCAAGGATTCTGAGGCTCCATCTAACATACTTTGGACATGTTGTGAGAAGAGACTGGTGCTTGGAGAAGGACATCATGCTTGGGAGGGTGGAGGGATGGTGCAGGAGGGGAAGACCCTCTATGAGGTGGATTGATTCAGTGACTGGGACAATCAGGATGGGAGTGTCAGAGATAGTGTGATTGGCGTAGGACAGAGCAGAGTTTAGGGCTATTGTACATAGGGTCGCTATTAGTCACAAGCGACTCGATGGCACATAACAGCAACAACAACAACAACAACAGTGTGCTCTTCATCCCCTTATGAGGTACCACCTTTCTTTTCACCCATCTTAACATATGTCTTTTATTAGCTGTACTGCTCTCCCAATGCATGGGATTCGAGATGGGCAGTCTCCTGTGAGGTTAACTGTCTCTGAAAACCCACTGGAGGATCAGGTATGGGTTGATTCCAACTTGACAGCATCCAACAATATTATAAAATTGGTACCTATTAGTATCTATTTAACTAATTTTTATTCCTTCTCCCTCTTCTCATCTCTGATAACCATCTAACACTGATTCTTTCTATATATAAACTTCTGTTTATTTTTTTATAAGAGTGGTTTTATACAATAATTATCCTTTTGTGACTAAATTTTCACTTATATTTGATAGTTTATAATACAGTTTAGGGCTTCTAAGTTTGCTCCTATTTTTTTTTCTTTGATGACCTTTATAATTGTAGATTTTATGCTTAGATCTTTGATCCATCTTGAATTAGATTTTGTATGTAGTGTGAGGTATCTCATGAGTACTTCTTAGTGGCATTATTCACCTAGGTCAGGCTGTGGTCCTTATACTATTTGGAATTTTTCTCATCAATAAAAATGGCAATGTTTTAAAAAATAATTCCCTTCCCTCTCTCCCTGACCCATCACTGATACCCACAAGTGAACATTGGTCTTTCTGTCTGTATACCTACTTCTGAATATATACCTATTTTTGACTTCTTATAAAAATGGAATCATAGAACCGTTTAAAAGAGAGATGTAACTGGGTATTTCTGTCATCACAGGAGACTAGAGCGAGGGCTGCATGGTGGAGGGGACCTGGGGGAGGGTTTGTAAAACAATGAAAGAATCTTTTCTTTTACTTTTCCATAATTTTTGGACTCATGTACTTATAACTTGTTAGTCAAATTTGTGTCTTCTAGGTTGCAACACCCCCATGATACATCTTCAAGGATATGTACATGTACAGCCAAGCACAATCAATAAGAGTGCATCTGAATTCCAAAATCAATCTCCATAATAGTCTATGTGTTTCCTACTGCCAAAGGGGCCCTTTAGAGTAGTGAGAGAAGATCTTCACCCTGAAACCCACAGCGTCCCTTTTCAGCAGGAAGTAGCTAAGAGAATACGCCGTGCCCTTTTCCTTATGACTCAGGGTGAAGTCTCTCTCAGGGAGGAGTGATAGGGAATGGCAAAGGATACACTGACAAAGAAGATTAATCAGAACTGGCTTTGACAAGCACTGTGGCATTTGGACAAGAACAAACTGGGAGGAGGGTAGAGAGAATAGTGCAACAATGAATGAGTGGAAGCCCAAAATCTCTGTAAATGTTTATGAAAATTAATAAAATATAATTATAGAAAAAAAATGGAATCATAAAATTTGCCCTTATGTGATTGATTTCTTTCATTTAGCATTATGTCCAACTCCATCCATGTTATAAAATATTTTGAGAACTCACCATTGTTTTTTATGGTATATAGTGTTGCATTATTTGTATATACTACATTTTCCCCCCTGTGCAAACAAAGAGGTTTATTAAGAAAAGTACTTGACTCTGTATATGCTACATTTTGTTTGTCCTTTTATCTGTTGAAGACCATTTAGTCACTTTATCTTCTTTTTTCTACTTTTTTTAAAATTAATTTTAATGAAAGTTTACAGAGACTTTCCAGTCATTCATTGTTGTACTTTTCTTCCTACCCACCCCTTCCCCCAGTTCACTCTTCTCCTTGAAAAGAAGAAAAACTACACACCCATGTTTATTGTGGCTTTGTTCACAATAGCAAGGAGTTGGAAACAATCCAAGTGCGCATCAACAAACGAATGGATAGAGAAGCTGTGGTATATTCACACGATGGAATACTATGCTGCATTGAAAAACAAGGAACTCATGCAATATTATTCAAAATGGGTGACTCTGGAGGAGGACATTATGCTGAGTGAAGTATCTCAGTCACAAAAGGACGAATACTGCATGGTGCCACTCTTGCAGAATGGGACTGACATCAGGGTTGGGGTAAGACTGAGAAAAACTGGATAAATTATGTAAACTGCATTGAAACAGATGAAGGAGAGAATAATTTAAAAGTGATATAGGATAGGGTATTATGGTTATCACAAGAGTCCAGAGTTAAGGTTGCATAGTGGAGTGTACTGGGGGCGGTCGGAGGTGTGCCAGGGAGATTGTATACCAAAGAAAGAATTTTTCTTTTACTTTTCAAAGAGAGGAGCGAACTGGGAGGGGAAGGTTGGGCAGGGAGAAAAGTGCAACAGTGAATGAATGGAAATCCAAAATCTCTGTAAATGCTCATTAAAATTAACTGTTATTCAATCCCTCCCCACCCCAAGACCACTCCACTATGAAGCCTTCTCTCTGGACTTATGTAATGACAACAATACCCATTCATATATCCCTTTTAAACAGTTCTCTCCCTCATCTGTTTCAATGCAATATACATCATTCCTCCCCTCCTTTTCTATCTTCCCTCAACCCTGATGTCAGTCCCATTTTATAACAGTGGCCTTATGCAATATTTGTCCTTTTGTGACCAAGATATTTCACTCAGCATAATGTTCTCCAGGATCATCCATTTTGCATAATATTTCATGAGTTCTTTGTTTTTAAATGTAGCATAGTATTCCATTGTGTGAATAAACCAGAGCTGCTCTGTCCATTTGTTTGTTGATGGGCACTTTGGTTTTTTCCAGCTCTTTGCTGTTGTGAACAAAGCCACAATAAACATGGGTGTGCATATATCTACTTGGGTGGCCGTTATGGTTTCTTTAGGGTAAATTCCCAGCAGTGGAACTGCTGGGTCAAATGGTATTTCTCTTTGCAACCTTTTGAGAAAGTGCCATACAACCTTCCCTAGTGGTTGTATTTACACTCCCACCAATAGTGAATAAACCTCACCAGCATTTGATGTTTGCTATTCTGCTAAATTTTGCTATTCTTACTTGGGTGAGATGATATCTTATAGTTGTTTTCACTTTATCTTTTTTGATGAGGCAGGAAGGGTTAGCAATTGTGAATAATGCTACAGTGAACATAGATGTGGCAGATTCTATTTCTTGGGAATTGAACTTCTTATTTATTTTTTTTCTCCTTTATGCCTAACACTCAGTTGCTTTTCTTTGTTGAGCTGACTATTCAGAGTAGATTCTGTGACCTGCCCTCGGCATCGTCACATAGCCCACCTCCTCTTCTCTAATTGCTGCAGGAGTTCTTTGCATTTTTGTTAAGCATTGGCTTAGTAAAATCATCAGTAACTTAATTGTCTTTCTCTAATCTTATTAACATTTTAGGACTGTACAGCCTGGGAAAGGAGTCCTTGTTGGAACAACTCGCCCTGGAGTTTCGGACATGGGTGGTGTTGAGTCCTCGGCGCCTGGAGTTGGTACAGCTGCTGGGTTTGGCAGATGTGTTCACAGTGGAGGAGAATGCCGGCCGCATCCATGCTGTGGACCATGCAGACATCAGATATTCCACCATGGAATACTGGAACCAGACCCACCCCACCATTGCTATCCTTCCCACAAGCCGGCAGATCCACAGCTCCCACCCTGATATCCACATCATCCCGTACTCGGACCATTCCTCCTACTCTGAGCTCCGTGCCTTTGTAGCAGCACTGAAGCCTTGCCAAGTGATACCAATTGTCAGTAGACAGCCTTGTAGGCACTACTTTCATGACAGCCTGAGCCCGAGGCTCTCTCTGCCCCGGATTCCAGACTCTGTGCAACAGTATATGAGATCTTCCTATAGAAAACAGAGCTTCCTCAGGCCACTGGAAGAGAGGCTAAAAAAGCCTAAAAGCCAGGGTGTTGTGTTCGAATCCCTTGAGAAAGATGCTGATCAGTGTCAACCTGACAAGGACTCGAAGATAGTCAAGAAAGAGAACCTTTCTCTTTGTCCTAGGGGCCTTGAGAAGCAGCCCTTGCCAGACATCCACAGCAAAGAACGGGATGTGCCAGACCTTGTCTCTGCATCTCAGGGGATGGTTGCTGTGGTGACTGCCCCCTTAGGCCTGTCATTGCCATTAAAGGCTACAGATAAGATGTTTCTCTCTTCAAAAATTAGAGAAGAAATAGGTTTAGGACCCCCCATGGTACCCAATGGAATCAGCCTTTGTCCAGCAACTCCAGGGAAGCAGAATGCTTGCACGGACCAGGATGCTGCCCTGTCTCCCGGCGGCACAACTGCCCCTCTTCTGACTACTGAGTTCAGGGGTCTGGCACTAAAATACCTCCTGACTCCAGTGAACTTTTTCCAGGCAGAGTTCTGTTCGAAGAGCTTTGACCAGCAAGTGGAAAAATACCATAGAACCCTCGCTGAGGTACAGAGGCGAGTGCAGAATGGCACCCTTGTTTGATGTAGGCCTGCAGTTTTGATGATAGTGACTGAGGGAGCAGTTTGTTTAGGGCTTTACTTTCCTGTCTTCACAGGATCCCCAAGGACTTACCCTGCAACAGCACTTCCCAGTTCCTGTGGAATCCTTACTTTTGTAGTTGAGTTTGTTTGAAAAGTACTTTTCATTACAACCCTTTCACCATATACATGCGTACATTAAAAGCTCTGAGAAGTCCTGCAGGAGCGTTATCTATTTAACTTCATTTAACCCAGTGTTTCTCAGACTTCTTTGAACACATAACCCTTTTCTGTGGATGCAGAACTGTGAATCGCATGAATCGCACGAGTTTATTATTTCCCATTGTTCTTTTGTGTCAGATCCCATCCCTTGTGTTCCCATCTTCCTCTTTCCAGATTAAAGTCCCTTGGTGGTTCTGTTTTTAAGTTAAGAACCACAGTGCTGAGTGGCCAGTGTAATACGGTAGTGGTGGTTCAGGCAGCATGTTCCAGTTCTGAATGTCACTGACTTGCTGTGACCCCATCCAAATTACTTTCTGCTCCTGCCGCAATTCAGGAAGCAATTAAAAAATCTTGGGTCTGTGGTGAAAAATTCCGTCTCTGATTCCTTCATAAGGGACTACAGTTAATGTCACTGGCAATCCATCAGAGCAGAGTTGGCTAGGGGGCGGACATCCCTCCCTAAGGCAGTACCTGCCACCCAGCTGAAAGGTAAGGCTCTTAGCTTCCTGGAGTCCCTGACAATTTGGCTGAAATAAAGTTACAAAAAATCAACTATGCTGCCAGATATTCCTCTGATTGTTCACATAGCTGGGATATTTGTTGCTTCCCCCTACCCCTCCCTTTGGGTGGAATGGGGAGCGGGAGCACACAGCCTGTTTGTTTTAGTATCTAGAGAAGAGACCAGAGATGCCAGCTGGCTGGAATGGGTGGGAGTGTGCAGTTCTGCACTGTCCTTCTGCTTATGACCTGACAAAGTGCCAGACCCATAAGCAGGCCAACAGATAGCACGGCTTTGAGGGAATGAGCTCCAAAAGAGAACAGGCTTGTGGAGCTTGAGAGATGAATTTAAAAAAAACCAAAACAGCTTCAGAATGGAGCCTTGAACCTTGGAAATGAAGAAGGTTCTCGGTTCATTGAAAGACGGGGAGTTTTCCACTTTTGGAAGGAGATGTGAAGAGTAGAAAGCAAAACAGTCTTGCTCTTGGGTAAGCTGTACTCCCCTCCTCTGTTGTGTCAGTGACCTTGGATGTAAACTGTCCATGGGTTTACTAGGAGATGCAGCAGTCGACGGATTTGGTACAGCAGGAAAACATGGACATTGTCCTGGGCTTGAATCCAGGACGCTCTGCAGGCTTGTCAATAGTAGAACCTCAGTTCCTCATCTGTAAAACAGGGACTAAATACATGCCTCTGGTAATTTCTCTGTAGAGAAATATTTTGTAACATTTCCTATTTACTTGGCTCCACAGTCAACACTCTTGGTAACAGCAGCCAGGAAATCAGGAGACGAATTGCATTGGGAAAGTCGGCTGTGAGGGACCTCTCAAGAGTACTGAAGAGCAACGATGTCAGGCTGGGGACTAAGGTGCGCCTGATCAGGGCTATAGTCTTCGCAATTATGTGCTATGCATCAGAGAGTTGGACAGTGAATAGGGCTGATAGAAAGAGGATTGATGCCTTTGAGCTCTGGTGCTGGAAAAGAGTGTTGAATATACCATGGACTGCTAGGAGAACAAACAGGTTTGTCCTGGAGAGGGTGAAGCCAGAGTGTTCCCTGGAGTCAAGGATTCTGAAGCTTCATCTGACATATTTTGGGCATGTTGCAAGGAGGGACTGGTCCTTGGAAAGGGACATCATGTTTGGCAGAGTGGAGGGGAAGCGAAGGAGAGGAAGACCTTTGGTGAGATGGATCGATTCTGTGACTGGAGCGGTGGGAATACGTGCGTTTGAGATGGCTAGGTTGGCACAGGATAGAACAGCGTTTAGAGCTCTTGTACATAGGGTCGCTATGCGTCGCAAGCGACTCGATGGCACATAACAACAACACTTCCTAGCTCAGTGTCAAATATATGAATGCTGCTGTTAGCTGTTACTGAATTCGCTGTCTTGCCAATCTATGTTGGATCTTTCTGATCCCATGCTTCCCGGTCCTTTGCCATGATTGATTGGGGATAGGGCCATTGGGTTTTCTTTTTCACAAATACATAACTAGACCTTTCTTCCCAGCCTTGCTTAGCCTGAAAGCCCCACTGTTCTGTAAACTGTTGTGTCATAGCAGCCTATAAACCTCATTGACAGACATGCGATGGCTGCAGATAAGGTGCATTGACTAAGAATTGAACCCACGCTTTCTCCATGGAAGGCAAGAATTCCGTTGCTGAGATATCAATGCCTAAGTAGTGAATGATAGGTGGTACTTCAGATGTCGGTTCTAATAGTCTCTGGTTCTTTGAAAAATTATTCTGCACATAAAAGAAGAAAATTTGGAAATCATAAAAATATAAAGAAGAGAAAGACAATTATATTTTCTCCATGTAAATAAATGTATATGTTTTCTTCTAGTCTTTATATTTTTTTAATAGAAAGCTCTGGTGCCGTAGTGGTAAGGGCATTATACTGCCCACTCAGAGGTACAGATGAATCTACCAGGTCTCAGAGGAAGAAAGATGGGCCATCTCCTCCCCTGCAATTCACAGCCTCTAAAAACTTGCTAAAAGGTCAGCTGTGAGATGGTTCTGACTCAACAACAAATGACAAGTCTTTTAAAGACATTAAAATATGTAAATAGATAATTTTTTACAAAATTCAGATAATACTTTATACATTTGTATGCTATATTTTTCTTCCTTATTATCTCAGACATTCCCCCATGCCATTAAACATTATTAAAACATGTAATTGTAAATGATGGTGGTGGTGGTGGTGGTTATATGCTGTTGAGTGCCTGTGACCCATAGTGACTCTATGTACAGCAGCTCTGAACCCTGCCCTGTCCTGAGCCAATCTCACTAATTTCGACCCAGCAAACCCCATTGCCCCAGTTACTATATCAAACCATCTCATTTGGAGTCTTCCAATCCTCTGCTGTCTCTCCACCCTTCCAAGCATGATGTCCTTCTCCAAGGACCAGTCTTTCCTGGCCATGTGCCCAAAGTATGTGAGATAGAGCTTCAAAATCCTAGCCTCCAAGGCCATCCATGGTATGTTCAAGACTCTTCTCCAGCACCACAATTCAAAATCATTGACTCTTCTGTCATTCTTAGTCATTGGCCAGCTCTCTGATGCATAGCAAGTAGTTGGGAAGACCATGGCCTGGATCAGGCACGCCTTAGTCTCTAGGCTGATGTTGCTTTTCAGTACTCTGGAGAGGTGCCTGACAGTAGATTTTCCCAATGCAATTCATCCTTTGATGTCCTGACTGCTGGTGTAAAGAGTGTTGATTGTGGGGCCAAGCAAGCTATAACTTAACAACCTCAATCTCTTCTCCATCTATCATGATGCTGCCAATTGGCCCAGTGGTGAGAATCTTTGTCTTCTTGATGTTTAACTTCAATCCATGTTGAAGACTACAGTCCTTGACTTTCTGCAGCAAGCGCTTAAGATCCTCCTCAGTTTTGGCAAGCTAGGTTGTGTCATCTTCATAGCATGGGTTGTTGATGAATTTTCCTCCAAACTTATGCCACATTCCTCCTCAATAAAGCCCTGCTTTCCAAATGATCTGTTCTGCATATAGACTAAAAAGGTATGGAGACAATATGCATCCCTGACACACTCCTGGTTTCTAAACATGCAGTGTTTTCCTTGCTCTGTTCTAAGGACTGCTTCCTGGTCCAGGTATAGATTTTGCATAAGCACAATCAAGT